TCTTCTGTTGACAGAAAGTACAGTTTTCGGTCTTTATCCCTTACATAAACTTCCGATTTTAAATACGGTAATTTGAATTGTTAATATACAATGTAACTAAATTTGTAATCAATATTTATTTAATAAGACAGAATGTGAAAGTCATGTTTAAATCTCTACAACTACCATAATTACATATAAGATTTATATCTTTTGTTACATCACCCTCTAGACGACTGGCTGGAAAAAAGCCAATGAGATGATTTCAATCTGATAAAATGGTACACTAACAACTGTTTCAGGTTTTATTTGATCAATTTTACTTACAGGGTAAAGGCCAAGTAACAGCGCGACAAATCTTAGGATTTCTAGCTGTTCATGTTTAAATCTTTTGATATAAATAAGTTTTGTATATAAGACAGGAATATTATAAGCGTAAAGCCTCCACCACAAGCTGTTAATATTTTGGTCACCAATCCAGACGCTTCAATGGAAAACATTTCGATGAAGCTTCAGACTACTAGATGTACGAATGGAGCTGATGATAAGTAGAGTTCATGGCCAGAAAATATTCTAGAGAAACAGACCGCTGATATGCCCTCCATGATGATTGTTTCTGAGACATAAATGTGTGTCCGATAAAACATCGTTATTAATTGCAAAGACTTGAATCAACCTTGATTTGTATTTGGTTTCAAACACAGACAACTAGTTTTGGCTCAAAATCGCTAGCTGACTTCGCTTCGGGGTCATCTTAGTTTTTATTTTTTTTTATCTGGACTTACCAGTAAAATAGTCGACTGTATGGGGTACATCATTACTACATGTAGAGAGTGGGTTGGCAGTTATCTGACTTGAATAAAAATAATAATTACTTTTACTTGTATTTGAGATATAATCCTGTCCAATAACTTTTCCTAAGCAATTATAATATGACAGTTGTCCAAAAGATGAACTAATAAATACCACATAGAATCCTTCAAACTTTTATGGAAAATTCAGGCATGCACTATGCAGCAGGGGTTTGTTTACTGTACACAAAGTCTACACATGTTTAACGACACAGTCGTGGTGTGTTCCCTTTCTGCTGGAAGGCCACCCTCCCCCCCTGCCCGCCCCCCAGAAAAGAGGCTGGCCTGGCTTTAAAATTTTGTATCATTCTGCACAGTGAAAGAAAGAAATTGCTTGTGCCCCCCCTGAAAAATTTTTCGATCCCTGCTCACCTAATGTTTCCTAGAAACGCCATTTCGTTGAGACATATTTACATATTGTAAATGTATTCAAACGAAAATGGGTTTCGACAATTAACTTAAACTTAAAATGCTGCAACACAGACGTTTTTACATCGTTTCCATCCATGCTGTTATTAGTAATTAAATTGAAATTATTCAGCTGGACGATCTTCATTTTTTAAAAACTGTGTCAAGAATGTTAGTTATCTTACGAGAATTGTATTAAGTGGTGTGGATTAACGTAATTTTTCTTGATAACATTAATCAATTCATTGGTTGTCAGTTTTATTTCAAGGTTTTGTCTTTACCTTAATTTGGTTTTCAGACCAACACGGCAACGCAAAAAAAGTTCCGATGTGAACTAATGATAAGTTATTTGTCACTCCCAGTTGTTGTTTCAAGTAAGAACTTACATAAATACCGATAGAGGGATTTGGAACCGATGACACATAATAGAGTTGGAAAAATGACATGGGATTTCTATCATATATGTCGTTTAAACCTTATACATTATATAAGGTCTCAAGTAGAGCACCACATTTATCAGCATCATCGGCATTTTTCAGTTTAAGGTGTTATCATACGTAGACGCTATGGATTTCAGCATTAGAATACGTCAATTTAATATGAAATTACTTAATACAACTTTACAAGATAAACAAATAATTCAAAAATACAAAGCCTTTTTGTGGGAGACATAGCTAAGGAGGTTTGTAGTATTTTAATATTTAGGTTGACACCCCCTTTAAAAGAATGAAAATACAGAAAACAAATAAATCAAACTAATTTTTCTTTATCAGCTTTTCACATTCTTTCTTTGTATTCTCACGTGGTTCTTATAGTGTGTGGAGATTTAAGTTATCAGTATAAGTTGTGACAAGATTTAGTTGGCTATATGAAAAAAATTCTCAGTCGTCCTGAAAAAGCTACCCTATGCTTCAAATAAGCGTCAACAGCGATGTTGTTTGGGCAATTTAGCGACCAAAATTCAAAGTTCAAAGTTTCGTGGGCTTAAAGACAAGATGCCAGCGATTAAACAGTTTTAACAAGTAACTTTATAGCAAGTCAACTTTACAGCAGATTTAAAAAATATATAAATATATATCATTGGATAGTTATTCAGATATTTTCTTTTTTTTAAAGCAATATTGTAAAATGTATGTATATATACATTATATTGGTCAAGAATAAAAGAGGGATATATCAACACAGCACTCTCTAGATAATTCATTCACTGGTTATGATCGGTAGTCTGTTGATGGCATTTCAGTAAGGGTTACAGGATGGAGAGGTTGGTGTTTGCTTTATCGATGGGATTCTATGATCGAATATGGACGAATACGAGATGCAACATAGATAACCAACTAATAACAAAAAGAAGCAAAGCGATGTAAAGTGATCATAAATGCATTCAAGACTACTAGTTCATTCATTGACCCATTTCCTTCCAGATAACAGGACAAATAAATCTATTCAGCATATTAAATGGAAGTTCGTATCACTTTATGTCACTCTTCTATTGGGTTCGTCAATTCGGCATCCTTCTTTTGAGTGTCCACACGGATAACATTGGTTTTTCATTTCACATTCACAGATGTCTTTAGTCATTTAGGTTTCTTCTGTGATATCTTGGGAGACATTGGTTTGGAAGGTTTAGTTGTCTTGGTTGTAGATATGGGTCGACTATGTCTATGAGCATTTACATCTACATATTCATATAGATTTTCATCGTCTGAAATAAAGAAAGACAATCAATATACATAGGAATATCATCTTCGAAATTTTACCGCGTATCAAATGACTTTCGACTCATTAACCTTCGATGCATTATTGTTCATGTTATTTTGACCAATTAAAAATATCGTCTCAAAAGCAGCAACTTGTAATTTTGAGACGGTACTGTTCAATGTTCAGAATCTGGTCTTGATTTCGTTAAAAATCCAACCAAATTGGAAAATTGGATCTCCTTGCGAAAAATAATAATAGCCTCCACAGCTAACATATACATAGAATGAGTAGACCGGAGAATATCGACAATGGAATATCACTAAATGAGTTGTGAATGGTGACCAGATTGAAAATAAACAGAACAAAACTGAAAAGAAATGCTGTTTTCAGTGATTGGCCAACCAGATGATCGGAACATTTTAGATTATAAAGGTATCAACTAGTTATAGGTAATCAGATATCACAGTGTCGGTGCCTATACATACCATAATACTGTGAATCGTCACTAGGTGGCCCTGTATAAACATTATCTTCTGCCCTGACGTCACCAGTAGATATTGTTGGAGGTACCTCATTTTCCACTCGAGATTTTCTATTGAATGGGTTAGGTAATAATCTACTGATCCTTCTGAGTGATCGGTTAATTCGTTTGGTCCTTCTTTCATTCATCGGCCTACAAATATAGAATATATCAATGAGTACATATTCAAGCAACAACAATATCTCAACCAGAAACTGGTTTTTCCTTGCTTCCGTTTGGTTCTTTTTTCTAGATCAAAACAAGATAATGTTCATTGTGTCATAAAATAAAATGTTCAGAATGTGAATTTGGTTATAAAGTTTCCATTGTAAACACAACTTCCATTTTCCATAATTTATAAATGTATTGTATTCCTAAAGGATAAGCATTTAATGTACTGAACACTATTATGCGTATATACACATAATTTCAAAAATAGCTTACTCTAATGAAGAAGATGGTGTCATTCCGGGGATAGGAGAATCTGTACTTCCAAAATCTATATCTTCATACGACGCCGATTGAATGTGCCTCCTCTGAAGTTCTTTGAATTTCCGTACAGATATTTGTTCCACGAGGATGTTTTTGCGATGTTTTGATCTCGGTAACACAAAGTAATCTTTTGGCAAGTCTAGAGTTTTATTGTATGACACAAACAATGAGTGTCGAGTCGGTATAGCCAGACAGTTTTTGACCAACGGTTCAATATTGCCCTCCTCTGTTCTTCGCAGTGGAGACACGAGAACCACTTCGTCTTGAAACACTTGCACCATTTCCACCACAGGTGGTAAAGGGAGACGATTCATTTTGTCTTCCTCCATTACAGAAACTAAACCAGGGGCACGTCCCTGTTTCTTAGAAAGGATATCAGGTAGTTTGTAAAGTTTTTGAGCACTCATATCGGCAAGTTCGAACATTTGTACCTCCAGATCTATTGGCAGTGTAAGTTTAGAAAAGACACCATGATCGTTTAGACGCTCACAGCTTAAGACTTTATACTCCGGGACGGATCCTTTTTTCTTTTTCATAGCCATTGGTTTATTGGATGTGATTTTAATAACATCGCCATAACGTAAAGAATAGGGTGCAGGGAAGTCTCCGGCTACGTCTTCCATAACTCTAACTTGGGAACCGATTGCGCATTCCGCAAGCTCGAACACAAATCGATACGATCTCGGGTAGTCGGCAAAGGTAACGTGAACGTTTGGGGTCACGATAAAGTACTCTTTCTTTGAACTTTTGACAATTAAACAGGGTAATGTGGTCACTTTGTGTACTATAACATCTGACACGTTCCTCAAATAACAAATAAAGTCGCGTGGAATATCGTTACAATTCATTAGGGTAGCTTCTATCGGAAACTGGTCATAGCGAATAACAAATTCACTTAATTGCATAGACGGATGTTTCTGTTGAGCCAGAACCGGAACCTCGTAATCATCCGGAGCATACAACCGAACAGATATCTTTGAATCGTTGGGAATGTACCATCGAACGTCTAAATCATTCCAAGGTGACACCTCTAGCGTCGTCTCTGAAATGTTAAGCCTCATTACTCCTTTAAATGTCAATGGTAGCCCGGTCAATGACGGTCTTCCCGATGATTTTACTTCCGTATCCGAATAAGGTGTCGAACCTTTAGGTTTTTCACCCCTTGAAGCCTCGATGTTTTCATTATTAACTAACTGTAGTTTAGTATTTTCAGAGCTGATCTTTAACCTACGAGAAACTTTGGCCATACTTACTAGTTCCCTCAAAGTATATGTTGTTTCGTCTGCTAACGATTGAAAATACCCGCGACAATTACCTGGCAGACGAACAATTTTGTCGCCTTCATCAATACATTCTAAACGAACATGTTCATGATCGCCAGATGGAATTATCCTGCCAAACCGAAATGTATCCCCAGATTTGATTGAAACACCAGGAAGGTATGGCTGGTCGAAATCGGCAGTGGCTTGAAAATATGTTGGACAATCCCGTAAAAGATCATATATAGTTGGGTACATGGCTGATTGTCTCTCGCTTTCCGAATTTGTGTCTCTCGGTGGAAGAACACGAAACTTGACCTGGCAGTCGCAAGACACAACTATGTCATTTTTAGAAATTGCATCGTGAACACTCAATGAAATACACTTAGGGAAATCCGATCGAATTAATAAAATATCCCCTTGAGCTACACGAATATCTCCATTGATGTAAGATCCTTTAGCAATCGAAACTGTTTTAGGAAGATCGTATTTCCTCACAAAATCACGTAACTCCATTTCGTCTAAATGGTCCGGTTTTGATGAATACCTGGCCGAGGTAGCCATCTTGAATTTCAACCCATTTCACATTAGAGAATATGGATAGTCAAGCTAAAAGATAATTATTTGACCTCTTAAATCTAAATGTTTCCTTGTGTTTACTTGTTAGACTGCACCAGATTTCATCTTGAATTGCCTCCCTTCCTCCAGGTACGTAAATGTCGCTCGATACGTTAATGGCCGGCGGCGTGCAGGTAGTTGTTGTGTCACCTTATCGATCATAGCATAAGAAACTCCGCCCACTGATAAACTTGTACTATATAAATAAATAGTAATATAATACAACTATGAATCATGTTAATATTATGAAAGTTTAAACACGATTAACCATGATTTAACCTAATGATGTTGTCATGTTACGTTGTCATTGTTTCATGTTACGTTGGTACATTTGAAGGAGGTTGATACAGTATTTAACTGTCGCTTCACGCAAGACACTAGAACATAAATAAATTCGTATCACTTTCCAAATGAAAATCGGGCGTCCAGTTCTTCTTCAATGTAGAGAAGCGGTTTAACATCGAGATTAGATCATGATATAAACTTCGGTAACAATTCTAATACTTCATAGCAAATATTACGAGACGGTTATCCGTGAAAGATCACTCTGGTTTAGAGTTCCGAGATTCTTTTAATTTCGTAATCACAAAACGATCAAGTCGAACATGTTGTTTTCAATTGCATTGTGAATCCAAAACATACTCTCGTGTTTTGCAGCACTACTTGAAACCCCAATATTAGTAATATTTCTAACTGCTATGTGTTTTATGTAGTAATCGTTTAGAAAGAGATACACCTACGGATTTATTTAAGGTATGAGTCATTCTAAATTATAAAGTGAGCGCTTGAATGCTTTGACTCTTATTGATACCGGCTTCCGGCTTGTGTAATATATTCATATATATCTAAATACATGTCAATGCATTAGTAAAGAACCGAAACTGTTTCTTCCCTTTCCTCGATAATTTTATTTAGTCATAAAGTTTGAAATATAATCGGCGTGTCAATGTCTATTGATCATGAACAAGTCATCTCCCATGTGTAAATTTGTACGAATACTTGCAATATATCCAGTTCTTCTTTCTTTTGTTGAACCTGTTCAAAATGTAATTAAGATGTACAGATATGTAAATATATTGTACGCCTTTTTCAATATCTCAAATAAATGCCAAACAGAAACAAAACCTTGACCACATTTCTCAATTTTAACTATTGATTCAGACAGAAAATTAAACATATGTAAATGTATTCTGATTCCCACAAAAAGGGCGATTCAATAGTCCTTGAGTACCTACAAAAGAGCGTCCGCATATACCACTATAGATACTGGATATTTTAAAAGTCGACAAAATGTTATAGTAATATTTATAATAAATAATATCAAATTATATCAACATTAATCACATATATCATAACAATTATAGGTAATTTCAATTCATGGGGAACCAGCAAACCACGAAATACATAACTTAAAGTGACACACAGTCATCGTATCATTTAGAGTGAAAATTTTCTTTAAATGAGTATTTCAGACTTCTTTATAGATTTCCTTCTGGATAAAGTATACTGATGCTGAAATTAAGTCCTATCAGATACTGAAAGGGAATCTTATCATTCGAATATCAGACTTATCATGCTAGGGATTTTAGAATTGAAGATTTCTGTGTCTCAGGATGAGATATCACCAATTAAGTATTCCGTGTAGTTTTGGAAACTATCGAAAATATGAACAAGCTATATACAATTTGAATATAGTTATATTCAATTAAACCCATATATATATATATAATGGGTTACATACCAGTCACAACAGCTGGTGCGGTTAAATTCAAGTTCCAAATAGTCTTCATACACAATTTACTTTCAAGAAGACTAAATGATTTATTTGACTCTGTATAAATCTATGACTGATTTAAAAAGTTTTTGACATTTTGTATAAAGAGGGTTAGGACATTGCTCACAGACACTCACTCTCAATAATATTCAAATCTTGTTGTGGTATTAAACAGTTGAACATCAAACAAGCATGATCCAGATTGTTGTCGGATTTACTAGTGTCCAGTAATGTAAGCCACTACCAACAGAGACATGTCCCTTCATTAAAAATTCTTACGATGGCGTATGCCATAGTAGTAGTTTCCTGCATAGTAACAGTTTTTTAACTGATGCTTTTGGAGAAACTATAAGTATCAGAGTAAATATCTAGTTGCGAAGATTCAATGAAAACATTCAGGTTAATAAAACATTCATTCATTTCTACTGAGGCCAGTAAAAACTCATTCTATTCACACTAACGAATGAGGACAATATTGGTCATGCAATACTAGAATCCGGTATTAGACTATATTTTCGAAAGTAGTCAACGTCTCATGTAATACATAACATTGCCTCTATTGTTTTGATTTAGAAAATATATTATAAGTAAACAGTTTTCTTGTCTCACATCTTACAACATAAATGCAGCCTTTTTACGTTTACTCTTTTCCCGGAAGAAGCACACAATAGGATTATTAATACCCAAATTGTCCAATTCAGAGTCTTTCAACGTTGAAAACTTTTTGCCGTCAATTTTCTTTTTATGCATATATCCGATGACTCTATCATTGACTTTCATATGCTTGAAGAATGTTGACATATGATCGACTGTAAACCCGTATAAACAGGCATCGTTTGGTATGGTAATATCGTCTTCTATGATACTTTCTGCTGGTGCTGAAGTAAAAATAATAATGTCATATTTAGGCGTATTTGGGTGTAAAGGTTGTGTAACTATTCATTTTTGATAATCTCAGATATCATATATCCTCCGAGGTATATGGCTAAGCTATTACCGGAAACACCGTCACTAATGATTCCCTGCAACATTAGATTAATTAATTTTTAAGGTAAATTGCTCATGTAAATACTTACTGAGATCTATAGTCGGAGGTTTTAGGAATGGTTTTGTTCCATTTGTTGATGGCTGTCGTGGTGGAATAGAGGGTATCTTGTGATCTTTAGAACTGAAATGATATGATAATATGAAAATGAAAAAAAGAAGAGCAATAAAGTAAATACTACGCCTATATCATTGAATTTGAAATAGAGTCACAAAAGTTGGAGATATATCCAAAACTCTACCTTCCCATTTGCTGAATGTTAGACAGGGCAATTTGACTTTGGTGTAATGAAGGCTTCTGGTTCTTATTTGTTGTTTGTTTATTCTATTTATTCCATTTATTCTATTCGAGTATTTTTAAGAACATTATTCAGCAAAATTTCAGAATACGCCCCTATTGTCTTGATTCATATAGCCTTGATACGTATGTTTCATATAAAACAATGACTTAAAAAATGTTATATTTATTGAAGTAATAATGCACATAATTATTATGTATTCAGTCATAAGAAGTTTGTGTTACGGTATTTCACGCCATGTTGAGTTTGATATTCACTTTTTATGGTTATTACGCATAAAATTTAAATAAAATTAACATATGATATGCGGGTTAAGCTGACATTACGACATTAAAAAGTAATACATCAACAGTGTAACTAGTGTAAGAGTTTTATATTCAAGTTTTTAATAACTGCTGGTTCAAATAACAAAGCACAATATTCCTAGTAAATATTTTCTCCGTATTAAATACTGAGAGGGAACAGCTGGGGCTCAGTGAAAAAGACGCTTGCTCATTAACCCGGGGATATCTGTCATAGATGAAGCGCCATGTTGTTCGGATGCAACAAAAACCGAGGCCCAATGTGCTACAGACTGCCCCTTTAAAGATCGCGAGACATTTGGGAGTTCCGAAGCAATACTTTACGTGTTCGTTTACCCAAACTGAATCAGAAAAAATGCGACGTAACACTCCATGATATGAGTAATGAAAACTGCACTTCTTCTCTTTAAAATCCTTGTCAGTAGCTTACATGTAATAGCCTACCTTTCCATTTAGGCGATTTCAACCCCATCCACAAATTCGACCAAATTTACAAATAAATAAACAGACAAGTTCATAACGAACACATACTTTGGGAACGATGAGACAACTCAGCTGATGCTAGACTTTATTACTATTTATTTAGGTATAAAACGCTGTACCGACAAGACATGTTGAGAACAATAAGACAGGTAAAATAACTGTGTTGTGATAAAGGGTGTGGTTTTATTATAACAGCATAGCTCTCAATGAAAGAATTTCTTGGATAAATAAATGCTCAATTTTACGTGGTGACAAGTCTCGTAGATGAAAGACTGACTGTTAACCACCTAAATATTCCGTAATGATATACATGTACATGTATTTAGAGAACATCTTCAATGGGAATACAAATCCTATTCCATCTATCTAATACAACTCTATTTTATCTGACTATCTATCTGTCTATAGTATCTGACTATCTATTACAACTCTATCTTATCTCACTATCTATTACAACTCTATCTTATCTCACTATCTATTACAACTTTATCTTATCTCACTATCTAT